CCTCGCCTCCTGCAGAAAGAAGGAAAAGTATTCCCCCCACCCCCTCCCGCCTCCCTGCCCGGGGAGAAGGTGGCCTTTGTGTCCTGGAAGTCTGACTTCCTTTTGCCCCCGAGAGAGTTAACAGCCTGTGTGTGTGTGTGTGTGTGTGTGTGTGTGTGTGTGTGTGTGTGTTGGGGGGGCAGGGGGAAGCTGTCACTGCAGAGAAGAGGGAGGAATGGGGAGGGGGGGAGGGGTGTCTGGACCAGCACGGGGGCCCTTGGCGGCTCCAGGCAGCAGCCAGGTCCCCTGCAGTGCGCCCCCTCCCCCCCGACAAATATTTTGAGAAAAGTTAAAATGTAAGCCCTCTCCCCAATGTTTCCTTGAGCTCGTAGGGTAGTTTCTGGAAACTAGTGAGTATCAGGGGTCCTTGCATGTCATGTGGGCACAATAATAAAGGAGAATGATAACTAACGGAGAACAGTTTAAATGGATTCAAATAAAATGAAGAACTTACCAGGCCCAGCATTATCCACCATTTTTCTCTTTTTCTTTTTCTTCTTCTTCTTCGATTCTGAATTGGATGAGTGCACTGCTGCTTCCCAGTTGGTTAATATGGTAGATTTCTTGGGGGACTTTTTAACTTTTACATCTTCCACTGTCTCTTTAGCTATATCTCCATTTTGGGCTTCTGACAGGCCCTTATTCATAGATCGCTTTAGGGATTTTTTAACTTTCCCACCTCCCACTGTTTCTTTACATGTATCTCCATTTGGGGCTTCTGACAAGCCCACATTCACAGACAGTTTCAGGGATTTTTTAATTTTTCCACTTGCTACGGTTTCTTGAGACACATCTTCATCTTGAGTTTCTGACAGGCTCACATCCCAGGCCCCTGTTTAACACAGAACACACTGAATCAAAGGGGAAGTTCACTCAGAAACAGCTGGACTCTCAAATGAGAAATTCCATGGCTTCCAGAACCGAAATGATTTGGCTTTTGCTTCCCTTTCACATACGGTTAAGTCCTCACTTAATGTCAATGGTAAGTTCCCATGGCATCTCATTAATGTCACAATGAACGATACTGAACAGGACGGCACTATTCGAGGACCTGCTGTACATTATTAAAACCACTTCGCCCAGGTCAGTGTGGCCGGTCCCACACACCCAGAGGCTGCTGGTTCCATTCTCCGTCAGGGCACAAGGCCTGGTGGGGGCTTGCCCACGCCCAGTAGGGGGCCTGCAGGCGGTAGCCGATCAACGTTACGCTCTCACATAGATGTTTCTCTCTTCTCCCTTTCTCTCTAAAAGTCAATAAACTATATTCTTTAAAACACTTGCAATTTTATGGTGTCACAAATAAATTCCTCTTAAGGAAAAACGCTGGAAAAAGGAAAGCTGCATTTCTTAATTTCAGAAAACCATCTCTGTCAAGAGTTAAAAGTTTGGAATAAGAAAACTTTAAGAGGTTAAATTTGTAAACAGCTGGGGTGAGACAACGGTAGTTACAAAATATGCATTTTAATATAGACATTAATAATATATGACTAACAGGCATATTAAAAACAACTTACATGTTATTCACACAACTACTGCTTCTCATAAATACAACTTCAAAACACTCACCCTGAATTTTCCTAGATGTTAGTGAATTGGAAATTGTTGGTGAAATCACTCCTTTGTCCCAATAGTTATACATAAATAGCTGAAAATGTCTTTCCAAAAGCTCCCATGTTTATGTATAAAAAAAGATTACATAGTCTTTTATTGTAATCTATACCTTTACCGTAAAGTAGTTAGTAATGCTGTATTAGTCTATGAATTGGAAATATAAGGGAACCTCTGAAACCTACAACGCTTGCTCCTCCAGGATTTCTTCCAATCAGCTAATCTCTGTCTGGGGTGACATACTGGACCTCAAAAATCGCCTTCGCGGGTTTCCATCTTATGACACAGGACCCCGAAAGCTTAACCTGCACAGCTTTAAGACCTCCGGCTCACCGGCAGAGGGCAGGGCTGCAAACGAGGTAGGCCAGCAAGGTGGCATGCAGGTAAGACCCCTTTGTATGTATCTCTGTGCAAGATGCAAGCACGCAGGCATTTATAAACTCGGGCTGGAAGTGCTGGAGCACAGGGTGGAGGCTTTGCATCTGACGCTGAGCTGTCAGTGCAGGCGTGCCACCCGAGGAGCGGCGGGGGGAGCCTTGCGGCAAGGGGACAGTGAGCTTCCTGTGGGGATACAGACCCTAAGCTGGTGATGCAAAAGCAAGGTGCATGGAGGGAGGTGCACGTGTCTGCTCGGAAACGGGTGAGGTGGGGACGAGTGGGACCCGCAGGCAGAGAGGGAGGCAGAATAGGCGAGGGAGACAGAACAAAACCTAACTTTCACATAGGTCAGAAAGGCTGGTTTAGCAGGAGGAACGCCTGGAGGCCTGGGAGGAAAGCCTGGGGGCTCCTGCCTTAAGTCAGCAGCAAGGGGAACCCGACGGCCAGCGTGTCAGGCAGACTGCGGCCGCGGGCGAGTGGGCGCCGGCTCGGGACCCCCCTGCGGTAGCCGATCAACGTTACGCTCTCACATAGATGTTTCTCTCTTCTCCCTTTCTCTCTAAAAGTCAATAAACTATATTCTTTAAAACACTTGCAATTTTATGGTGTCACAAATAAATTCCTCTTAAGGAAAAACGCTGGAAAAAGGAAAGCTGCATTTCTTAATTTCAGAAAACCATCTCCTGCAGCTTGAGGTTCCTCTGCCGCAACTTGAGGTTCCGCTTCTCGATCTTTCTGCGCAGGAGCTTCATCGGCAGGTGAGCCATGTTGACGAAACGCTTCCCAGCGGCGCCGCAGCCCGGCTTCTGCGCGCTCCCGGGTGACGTCACTTCCTCTCCGTACGCACGTGAGCCGCGCGGCCAACAGGATATACGTCACAGGAAACGCTAGCGGCCTGTGGACCGAAAATGTGTCCCGGCGGGAAAGGCTTCCGGGCGCGTGCGCCGCGCTACACTTGGCGACCGGATTCTGTGCAGCGTCCTCTGGTGGGTTGGAGGCTCGCGCCTGCGCCGGGTTCGCATTGTGCCAGAGCTGGCAGGGCATCTAAGCGACTGGGGTGGGGGCGTGGGGTGGGATGTGTGTGTGTGTGTGTGTGTGTGTGTGTGTTCAATTTGGGAAATTGAACAAAACTAACTTTCACATAGGTTTTTTCCACGCTCCTTAGTGAGAAATACACCTTCCCTGGTTCCATAAGTATAACATTTCTCAAAGCAACACCCTTACTCTTGTGTTTCATTCATATTTTTCTTTCCATTCCATTCATTCCACCATAAAGTACTCTATTCTGAGCCATTAAAAATTCACATCACTATGCCTTCAATTTCACAGCAGTATTATCGGGTTAGCTGCAGTTTGAAAAACAGGTTTATAAGGATAATTCCCCAACACTCACCCATGGACCCTGTAGGAGTCCAGAACATACGTTGCAGTTTGGCTACCTTGTAGGCTTCTTATTTTCTTTTATTTATCTATTGTGTGTGTGTGTGTGTTGCACAGAGAGGTGCATAGAGTGTTTAAAAATAGAGTTATTGCTATTAGAAAATTGGGATAGTTCATACTGAAGTTGATATTTTTCTTGAAAAGTTGCTTCAATTCCTCTTGGAAGTAACTAGTTTGGGCTGAGCAATCCCCTGAGAAGGGTCAATGAA